GTAGTATATGATTATAACCTGATGACATACACAAGGGATGTATGTATATTCACAATATATTTCATTGTTTCTATGATGGCCTAAGAAAACATCAAGACTTTTGTTTTGATTACACTATTAAACTCTTCTTCTAAAGCTCTCCATCTGAGACCAAGTTCTTGTTCTTAGAAGAAGAATCAGTTGCTGAGAAAAGATCTGTTATCAAACCAAACCCTCTCGGATAGGCCTCCTCCTCCGACAAATCTCCTCCGTAGTCTTGCTTCACTCTGTTAACACAGAAATGTTTCATCAGAAGCAAAAAACACAAAAGAAGAATAAGAGAAAGAGGAAACTGTATTATAGATTTGATGAAACAGAAGAAACAACAACGAGAAATTAAGGCGAGAAAAAGGGTTCAGAACTTGGGAAGCTTGTCACAGTCTGAAGGAATCCATCCAATCCTCTGCTTCTCATTGTCGTAGATCACCATTATCCCTTGGAAGAATATGTCTATCACACACACATAGCCATGAGATGATATTGTTGTCAAGTTCTGGAAATACACAAAAAGAAAAGATCTAATCTCGGAAACTTTAATATATCTACTTGCTTACCTCCAATGATATTGTAGCCATCGAGCCCGATTTCAGTTCCATTCAGAATACCCAAGCATACGTTTCCTTTTTCCTAAAAAAATCAAAAAGAAGAAACAAACTCTCTCAGCCATGGATTTTTTTATGGAGGTTAAAGTCATATATAGTTGTTGTAATCGGTTAATTACTCACGGTGATAATTAGGTATGACTCAGGTGGAACCTGAAACAGCTGACCGTTCTTTTGACTCCCAAATCGTAAAGTAATCGTCTTGAAGTATTTCTTGACATCATCAAGTGACTTCAAAGGCTTTTTTTCTTTCCAACAGACCGGTAAGCTTTTATCTTCTTTGTCCACCAAAGGCTTTCCATTTAAGTCTTTTCTTATCTATAAGAGATATAAGAGAGCCAAATCAGTCACAACAAAAACACAACCATGAAGCTAATTTACTTCTTTTTCTTCAGAGAAGAAATTGTCTCTTACCAGATTGAGAATCGATTGGTATGCTTCGGCATTGAAGTAAGTGTACGAGCTTCCACTATCGAAAACTAAGTTAATGTCTTTGACACCTGTAATCTTGCCATCAAAGAGAAGCTCTGCTGGCCCAGTCATGTAGTTTTTACTAAAGTAAAGAAGTCGCACCATGAGTTCAGTTATAAAAGTAAATTGACAAAGAAAATGATGCTCAAAAAGATTGCTCACCTAGGTGAATTACGAGCCAATGAAGTCCATGTAACTCCAGAAGAAGGAACAAGCTCATCTCCAATAGAGAGAAAGCCTTTACCATTATGACTTAAGCAGTGCACAATCACATTCTTTGTTACCCCCAACGAACTAAGCTGTGTTGAGATGCTTACTTTCCCTCTGCCAAGGCCAAGGATTCCTGCTGTTGGAGGAGGAGGGTGTGGACCAGGGTTCTGCTGATCATAACCACATCTGAAAAGAGAAAAAGTTGATTCAAGAATCAGAATCACTAGCAAGATCACCAACTTACGAATTTCGTGTTATCTTTTCTAATGCGTGAAAACAAAAACTAACCCAAATGTCAGATGGGGGTGCATAGTGGAGCCATTTGCAAGTCTTAGAGGAAACTCATCACTAACGAGAGCACCAATCGATGATGCATGATCAGAATACCCAATTTCATAGTCACACTGATCATCAGGGTCAGCACAAGGTGTGCTCTGGGGAGGATTGAGGCCAGAACACAAGATGTGTGAACAAGGCAAAGTGTTGTGATTGGGCTTGTACTGACTAGCACGAGGCTGCAAAGAAAGAAACAAGATTCTCTTTATACCTTTCCTTATCAACTAAAAGCAAAATCAAAGTTATACCTTTGTGCAACCGTTGCAGGGTGCATCACATTGAACCCAAGTGAGATCACTGCCAGTGTCAATGTCCAAGTCAAAGAGCTTAGGTGGGTTTCCTATGTTAAGCAACACAAAATAGTACCT